GCAGATTTCTGGCTTGGTATTGCTGGAAGAACACGGCGCTAGACAACAGAGTATGTCGCTAGAGAAATAGCTCTATCGCTAGACGACAAAATTGTCGCCATACGACAAAATTGTCGCCATACGACAAAACCATTTTTCAGGCGACGAACGCCGTTTTCTAGACTATAGTTCCTACATGCCTCAACAGCTTTTTATGTTCTTAGAATTCCAGTTTTCGCAGTATTATTTCGATTCTAGTTGTGAAAGATATTTCTTAAATTTCCCACGTGTAAAAATCCTATGTTTTTTACTCATTACGGATGGTCTTTCCAATGAGAACCTTTTTGATGCATATGACAATATTTTTAATCAAAATTACGCACATGAAATACTTAGAACTTTTTGAGTCTCATCCACTCATTCTAAATCATTGCCGAAATAAATTTCATGAATTAAAATAGAAATTCTCCCCAGCGGAGTCACCAAAAACTGTACGGAATATTTCAAGCATTACCCCAAACTTGAACCCCACTGTGATCATACACTAAAGTACGGTGGCATCCAAAGGGAAGGAAGCTAGAGCAAAAGAGTCGCCAACAAGTTTTAGGAACTTGTAAACCGTGCACAGGGTGAAGGTTACACCCCTTAACGATCTAGGAGATCGTTAACTCCAATAGGTCTGGAACCAAGACTGGAAGTTCGGTGATGAAGGTATAAATCAAATCTAAAAGAGAAAGAACTTGCCCTATAAAATAGGTCTCTACTTTATTCTACTCGTATTCATGTGCGCTTTCTAACTAACATAAAATCAATAGGTTAACCCTAAACCTATGTTGGTTGAACATTAATGCACAATTAAATCTATTTTTGGCAATCACTTGAATTATAATCATATTTCCTTAAACAAGATTATTAATTATCTTATTAAGCGTGATTACAAGCACCAATTCTCTTTAAACATGCATGAAAGGTGTGATCAACCAATAACAATAAATATCAAGCAACATAATAATCATAATAATAATAACCATAATCATGATAATAATTAAAATAATCATGTTAAAGCATAATATTAATAGCAAGATCCTAGGCATGATACTAACATGATTAATAACAAACCCTAGCATGTTACTAAACCACAAAAATCAAAGCTTTAACCCTAAAATGATACTAACATGCTATTAAGAAAGAAAATAGGAAGCTTCATAGAAATCATAATTGATATAAGGAACTTATTCTGTACCCTAAACATCATACTAAGAAAAGCACCCGAACATGATATTAGGAATCAAAATAACAACCTAGACATGATTTCTATATGAAAATATCAATTGAACAGTTAAAGCACTTGCTTTGATGCCTCATAGCTCTTTCTAATAACAAAATACACACGTTAGTAACTTAAAGGGAAATAATAAAACAAACAATTTTTTATTATCAGTTTTCACTTTTCTGTTGTCAGTTTTCAAAATTATCATAATTTTAATAAGTTTATATAATTTTTTATTCATTATGGGACTCATATCATATAATCTTAGAAAACAAAAAACAAAAAAAACAGAAAAACACAGCAATGTCAAACGAACCCTAAATTAAATAATTGAAATAGAGATTTGGGACCAAACCCTCAGAAATACCAAACCTTTCACGTCTAGGGGGAAGGCAACTTCGAACTTGGCTAGGTGTGTCTAGTGCTAATGTATGAGGAATTTTGTTTGTAAAAGGCTAGGCTAGAAAGAGGGAGAGAGAGAATAAGCTTTAGCTTAGAGAGAGAGAGAGAATAGAATTAGAGAATTTTGGTTATTGAAAAACGGAGGTTCAGGGACCCTATTTATAAGAAAATAGTCCAGAATTGATAGAAACTAATCAGTGTTTGAAAAGGAATAAAACACGCCTCTGCCGCCAGGCGACAAACCTGTTGTTTGGCGATGCAGAAGGTTTTCCACGCATTTCCAACGTGAAATCCATTCTTTGATAAAATCAAGTCGTAAAGTCCGTACGAAGGGTAAAATCGTAATTTCATTTAAAACACTTCTTTTTTTTCAAATAAAACTCATAAAACATAATTATCAATCCTAATCCCATTAGATTTCAAAGAACCTTCTAGAAGATTTTAGAAGACTATAATCAATCCTAATTGCATTCGGAATGATAATTCATAATAGGCCCTCATCTAGATTATTGGGCCGCATATAAAAACCAAACTGGGCCCAGTTTATTATTTTGGTCATAACTTTCTTATTATTCATCGGAATTGGGCTTATAATATATCGTTGGAAAGCTCTTTTCGAGCCTAATCCAGCTACACCATTATTGGACCCTTATCATGGACCAAACTAAACGGGATTGGATATTTCATAAAATAGAGTAGGTTTTCGAAAACAGAAAGAGAGATTTTTAATAAAAATTAACCACAACATTAGACTTTCCACACTTTCACTTCATTCGATTATGATTCGACGCGAAAAGTATTCATCACTGGGTTTGGTTTTGGGGAGACACATTTGGGTGTCTACAGTTCCAAACCATATGGAGTTAGTAATCTCATGGATTATGAATGGGGTGTAACCTTCTCGGGTCAATCGTTGTTGCCTTTCGTTTTCCTTTAATCGTGGTTGCCTTTTATGATCCGTGAACGGTTTACAAGTTCCTTAAAAACTTGTTGGCGGCTTCTTACTTTCCTTGTCCCTAATCGTTGTCCCTAATCGTATACGTCAATTCCCACTTCCTATGAGTGCTAAGCATATTCACACATGCTTTAACATAGGCGCACTTCGAACGATGCCTACAATTTGGCGACTTCACTGGGGAGGATTCTTGGTTATTTATCGATTTGAGTGATCGGTATTTAATTAAGATGAGTGTATGAGACTTGAAAGATTCTTGAAAAATATTCCTGTGGTTAATTTGGCATTTTTTCATAAGCATAGATGTTTTGACTTCCCATTTAGGTCTGTCCCATAGGAATAATTGAATAACTTGATTGTGCACGAAGGAAAACAGGGCAACAATCAGATTTTCTAACTGCCGCGCCATGGCAGATGCTGTCATGTCACAGTTCCGTACACCTTCACACTGTGTGCAGCACCATGACACGGTACATTCTTTCGTGTCACGACAGTCCATAAATATGTCCAATGGCTTATTTTCTCTTTTCACAGTCAACTTCCTTCGGTTTATCTGAAAAAACGTGTGTGTTCTACATACGTCTTAGCCCCAGGGGATTTAAGCTCTATGAACCCAAAAACGCTCATGGAAATAAGGGTTCATCCGATTTATTAAATCCACTCAAACCATAGAGTCAAGTTCGATTTCATCACGAACTCGCAAAACCACCTGTTGGCATACACCCTCAAGGGAGGCTGCCTTGCTAACGCATCCAAACTCTTAACCATGGTACCCTTTTGACACCCTAAGCTTGACCAATAGTTGAACATAGATCTTGACCTTAGGTTTTTGCATCATTGTAACTAAGGGATACATGGTTTATTTGGTTCTAACCCACATGTGTTTGTTCATTTTGTTTAACGTATGACCAAGGGTTTTTATTTTCAGATAGTAATTAGTATGGACTTAAAATTGGTAAAAAACTGGAAATTACACAAAATTAGCCCTGAAATTGTGCATTGTGTCACGGCAGCTTTGCCGCGACACGGTGTGTAGTGCCGTGACACGGTGCTTTGTACCATCTGACAATGCATTGTTCCGTGTCACGGCAGTCAGCACCCATATGAGTTTGATCCAGTCAGTCTTTTTTTGTCTTTGTGCGTGCTTATGTGGTTCGTATGTCCGGTTTGATGTCATGTTTAGCTGTACGGTCATAACACGCGTCCATAACCTCATTTAATCACTCACATGTCGTGTCAAGTTAACACACTTTGCCTTGAGTCGTGCAACATTTTATAACCGTACTTTAGGAGGGTCTTGTGTCGTTTTTTTGTTTCGTTTTTTTTCCCGGAGTAAGTCGGATGGTATCCTCCCATACATACTTTTTTCTTAAAAAAAAATCGAATTTTTTTATTTTTGTTTTGCCTTTTCTTTTTCCGGATGGGTCAAGGTTAAGTTTAGTCATTAAAGGTGTGTTTGTTTCGAACTCACAACACTTGGTCAAGAAACAGGGGTAGATTGTTACGGTTCGAGTCACTACCTCAACAACCTCTTATACCTAAGAGGCGTTCAAGGAAACCACCACAATCATCTCCACAAAGTCCATCTCTAGTTTACTTTCAACCAATGGCTTCTAAGGAGGATATTGAGAACATTAACGGGTCCATCGAGAGGTTGTCTACCATGATACAAGCACTCACCACCAGAGTCAACACGTTAGAACAAGACAATCAAAACAATGTCAATGTGGCTGCAATGGACAAGATCAAAGAGCAAATGTGTAAGATCTCTGAAGAGTTCACCTATGTGGAGCAACCTGTCACCTCTTCGTCTATAACGGAAAAACTTCCCGAGAAGTTTTCCACTGCTGACATTCCCAAGTTCAAGCCTACTTATAATCTGATGTTCCACTTGAAGGCTTTTTCTACTACCATGGCTCTCAAGGGCCGGGGTTAGATGTGACACTCTTCCCTATTGTCACTAGTGGAAAAAAAAAAAGGTTATCCGTAACGAGCAAAAAACCCCTATCCGTAACGGGCAATGGCTGTTACGTATGCGGCTGTTACATATGCGGCTGTTACGGATAAGAAAAAAGCTTATTTGTAACGGACAGGTGAAGTGCCCGTTACGAATAACTACTTATTTGTAACGGACAGGTGAAATGCCCGTTACGAATAACTAATTATTTGTAACGGACAAATGAAATGCCCGTTACGAATAACTACTTATTTGTAACAGACTAGTAAATGCCCGTTACAAATAACAGGGTATTAGTAACGGGCCTTTATGATGCCCGTTACAAATAATGTCTAAGTAAGGCAAAAAAAAATATGGGTTGCTTGTAGCAGGCACCATATAGGGTAACAGTAACAAATACTCCTATTTTTTATCCATTCACACTCAGATCAAATATATTAAACAATAAACATACTCCAAATTAAAATATTGGTTTTTATGGCACATACATAGTGTCAAACACGACATATACAGTATACACCAAATTTATTTTACATCTTAAAAACTGCTTTTAAACTTGTAAAAAGATTGTAAAATGTTAATTTAATTAAATAATTAATGACTAATGGAACACAAACAGCACTAGTAACCACAGCATCCAAGAGAACAATGATAGCAGATCCTCAGCAACCATAAGCACCATCAGCAGCTGTAGTTCAGCAACAATGATCAATTGCAATACCAGCAGCAACAATGAGTTCCCTTCTCACCTGATCCAATCGATACAAAAAAAATCAATCAAAATCACAAAAACAGATTAAATCAAATCAATAACACAAAAAAGGGGAATTGTTACACAAACAATTTCGGTCTAAAATAATCATGGACTTTAACCATTCATAATAGCATCATTTCACTTTAAAAAAAGGCCCTATATGCAAGTATCAAAATGTTTCAATTATTGAATAATAGAGCAAGTATCAAAAAGTTGCGATTATAAGGAACTAAAGGAAGTATTGAGTTTGATATAAACAGCAGTAGTTCAGTTAGTATGATCAGGTATATGCAAGTGAGGAGTACCTAAAAATTGCACTCTGCCAAGTTCAAATCAAAGGTTTGGACAAGGATATTAGATCTAGTACAAAGCTCTGGCCTAATCTTTGCTGAGAAAGAAACATGTAAACTTTTTGTAAAATCAAAGATGGTGCTTGTTGAAACATGAAGACACTGTCAAGCTAGCATATTATCTAAATTAGAGTTTTGACTGTACTAGCCAATAGAGAATTAGGTAAGCAACTCCACCTACTTGATGGGGAGCAACAAGAATCAAAGAAAACCCAAAAGAATAAAACAACATGATTTGCTTTTTTTTTTTTTTTTTTTTGTGATGATACCGCAATATACCATAAATAATCAGCCACGATAACAAGTACATGTTGGGAATAAGCAATGTACTTACTCATATTTTCCAGCGAGAATCCGCAAAACAAACAAAGCAACATAGACCTGTTGATCTTGAAAATTATGCTTCACCCAGTGAAGAAGGTCAGGCCACTGCTCAGGGTAATCAGCATGGATAATTGTTTTGAGGCACTTGCCCAACTGTAACCTACAAAAGGCAACCACAATAAACATCAAACCCTAATTCTCCCTTATTGTACCTTTTAAAAGTTCTTCAAATAGTCAACTAATTTGATCTCCCTCCTTTATTTAATAAGTTGACTAATCACCATTGATAATTCATTATTGAATGGTAGACTGATAATGTTATGTTATGTCAAATCTCACAGTATTTTACTGAAAAGGAAATTTCAACAACTTTGTAAGTTCAACAAGCTTAATCAATAACCATTGATAATTCATGATTGAATGGTGACTGATAATGTAAGTATTTCACTGTAGCGTTTAACAGCCAGGAACCGGCGGCAGCAGCAATAGCAAATCTCATAATAAAGCTTAATCAATAAGCTTGATGCTTCCACACATACACATTAAACATGTAGCACCGTATCAGACAAAAATAAGGTCAAAATGTAATTTATGTAACATTGATTCACTTCAATGAAAACAATACGAATTCAGATTTATACAATTAATCGTTATTTATTTATTAATTTTTCCTTTTGTGATCAATAAAAATAAAAATTAGAACAAAATATTCCTCAAAGACACTATTTATCTCCTTTAATTCAAAAAACGAAACCAACTTCATCAATTTCCTGCCATGGTCAAATTCAACTGAGAATAGTACTAGATGTGACTCAACAACAAAAAAACCTCATTCAAACGATCTAAAAGCAACACTAGATGTGACTCAATAGAACGTAGTAGTATGTGAATCATATAAGATTGTTAAAGACTATAGATCTGAAAAAAAAAAAAAAAATTAAAGCAAGACGATAAAACACCAACAATCATCCAAAAATTCAGCTACATTCTCAAATATAAAACCTAATAATTTCAGCCAATTGGAATTAAATTGTTCCAGATCGAGCGAAAAGAACGAAAATACAACAATTACCTAGCGAATATAAACTCTTATGCACAATCGAGCTCAGCTCCCTAATCTTTCTTCCCTTCTCACCTAATCAACACCAAACAATAAAAAATCAAAGTCGCAAAAACACAAAATAAAAATGAATCAAATCAAATAAAAACCCAAAAAAGGGAAAATTACCAAGAACATTTTGGACACTATCCGAGTAGCCATAATGTTCAGTGCGTAGAGATCCCTCAATTCAACACCAGCAGCTGAGTTCGCCGTAGAGGACATCAAAACCTCCGCCGTATCATATTCTTCAAGCAGGAGTTTTAGGGTTCTGGGGGATTAAAATGAACGGTGGTTAAACAAAGGAGGGAGGATATCGAGAAAAAATGAACGGAAAATTTTCAATAACCGAGGGAGGAAAGCGAAAAAGGAGGTAAGGAGCGGTGGAAGAGAGAATCAGGTGAGAAAAATCGCCATTGAAGGGCGATCTCATAGGAGAGAGAAAGAGAATGAATGGGTGAGTGAGAGAGGAGAGAGAATGTACTAGAGACGGCTGTGAGTAAGTGCAAAAGAAGGATGCGAGTTTTAAGGTTTTAATAACCTAATTGTATCGGGCAAACGGTGCAGGTTACAAACACCGAATTATTTGTATCGGGCAAAATGTTGCCCGTTACAAAAATGAAATTATTTGTAACGGACAACATTTTATCCGTTACGAATAATCTTTTCCGTACCACTTTGCTGTTTTAATGTAACCGATTGTTATTTTGCTCGTTACAAATAGGTTTATTGTAACTAGAAACTTATTGCCCGTTACAAATAGGGTGTTACAAATGACATTTTTTCCACTAGTGTGTGTTCCCTCTTTCCTTGGAGCATGCCTGTCAACAATGGTTCTACTCTTTGGAATCCAAGCATGTTGTGACTTGGGAGGATGTTACTGAAAGATTCATGAACCGTTACAAATGTAACATCCAAGCAAGACTTCAGAACATTAACTCTCCATTCTCAAATAGAAGGAGAATGAAGGATTCACCACTTATCTAAGTAGGTGGAGAGAAACAGTTGCGCTCTTGGTGGATCCTCCCAAGGAGAAGGAGATGGTTCGCCTCTTTATTGCAAATTTGACTCATAAGTACAAGCAACACTTTTAGTTTCTCCTTCTAACACCTTTGAAGTTGTGTACGTTATTGGGATCAGTATCGAAGATGAGTTGATGAAGACTGCTGGTAGCAACAACAACAACAACAACGATACTTGGAAAAACAAGAAGAATGACACTCCTTCTTCTTCGTCTTCTAAGCCCAATAATGCTACCAATAACATCAATGTCAATGATGTGTGAGCTCTTAATGCTCCCACTCAGGGATTCCAAAGGCAAAGGAGGGTTTACACGCCTTTGGGAATGGGCTATGATGCTGCTTTTGATCGCTTGCATAATCAAGGATTGATTATGCCAATTGGACCCTTTCCCGACCAGATAACAGAACTTCTAGCTATGACCCTAATTCTCATTGCAAGTTTGATCAAGGCAAGGGTCATACTACTGAGAAGTGTTGGAGGTTGAATGATGCGATACAAGACTTGATTGATGCTAATCAACTTCCTGTCCCTTCAGGGGGCAAGAAGCCCAATATTCAAACAGGTCCCCTTTCTGATGCTTTGGCTATCATGGGAGATGAAGTCTCCTTTAATCTATCACTACTCATTCAACCTGTGAATGAACCTCTACTAGAAGTTGTCTTTGTTTCAAGCTGTGAAGAAGTAAATGGAATTTGGGACAATGACGATGAAGACGTCTATCTCAAAGATATATCATGTTCATCTCTTGGCACTAGTGAAGATGTTTAGGGAGACCTTGAGATCAAGGTTCTCATTAGAAATGGACGGTTGCAACAACCTAGTCCACCTCCACTGCAATCACAACCAATAGTTGATCCCATCGTCAACCCTGTGAACAACGATGTGATCAAACAATTACAAAAGACTAAGGTGGAAATGAATATATGGAAGCTTTTGGCCACTTCCCACGAGCATCGAAAGGTTGTGATAAATGCTCTGGTGAAAACAGGAGTTAATAGTGATATGACTCCTTAAAGAATTGTCAGCTTTCTCACTACTGAATTCCAAAGTACCAGTAATCTGATTTCTTTTTCTAATAAGGATCTGCCCCTGGAAGGGGACCAACATAACAAGGCCTTACACCTCACTGTGGTGTTAGGCGGATGAATGTTCCTATAAACCTAGTTGATAATGGCTCAGTAATCAATGTATGCCCGTTGCGCACTGCAAAGAAGTTGGGCATAAAAAATGAAGAATTGATTCCCTCTACTCAAGGGATTCGTGCTTACAATAATACTCTTCGTCAAGACGTGGGTACTATCATGATAAATATCACTACTGGAGCCATTGAACGTCGCACCAAATTTCAGGTGGTGGACATTAAGTCTTCTTTCAATATGTTGTTAGGTTGTCCTAGGTTTCATGATCTAAAGGCGATTTTATCGTCGTTGCACCAAAAGGTGAAAGGTATAGTTTGAGGGATTCCAATTACTATTGATGCCTCTCCCATGCGCATTCAAGTTATTGATTCTCCCATTGTCCATGTCGAATATGATGACGAAGATGAGGACCTCTAGGGGTTTTCACTAGATGATGTTCTCATGATTGAAGAATAGGAGAAGTGTCACCTCAAATTTGATCCTTATTTGGACACCAATGTTAATGCCATTATGAAGAAGCAAGGGCATTTCCCTGGAATGACCCTTGGACTCAAAAAGAAAATGGCTGAACTTTGGGGCCATCCTGGTGCACCCAATGTTGAAGCATAAAGGTTTTGATGATATTGAACTTAAACTAAAGAAAACTCAACTAATAAAGGTTTTCAAGTGTTTGATTAGTTTAGGTGAAGTTGATCGTGGTGATGGAAGAAGTAGCTGGAACTAAGAAGACATGAAAAGATCTTTATTGAAGGAGTTAAACAAATCAAAAGAAGAGTTCTCTAACAGGAACGTTCCCTAACAGGAACGTTCCCTAACAGGAACTTAAAGACAGCAAGCTTAAGTTCTTTGGTGGAACTTAATAAGCTTGGAGCCCAATAACCTACCTTAACAAAAGCGCGGCGCAACAATTATATTTAGTTAAGGTTTTTATCTTCTAGATTATTGTTAATATGATAAGTAGGTTATTGCACGAAATTTATTAGAAGCGTGACAAGTTGGCTTGGTAAATAAAATAAATATGGAGAGTTATAAAAGATAGATTTTAGGAAAAGATTTTCTAAAAATTTATTTTCTTTAAATCGGTTTGTTAAAAAGATAAATCTTTTTAACAAATATCTTTTTAATCTTATTTTCCGGAAAAGATTTTATTCCACTTGATTTACATAAAACCGTATTTAAAGATAAGTTAAGTTAACTTATTTATCTTTTAGAAAACCTACTTTCTATACGAGTGATACTTGTATAAATAGTGGAGAGCAAAATGGTTTTAGGTTTTTGTGAGTTTATGCGTGGAGAAATCACTGTGCAATAATTGTGTAAGTTTACCAAGCTTCTATCTTGTCATATTAGTTTCGGATTTCGTGCATTGCTTACCTATCATACTAGGTGTCGTACACTTGTATTGGGTTGGGTTATTTGGGTGAGTTTATTGTTTGTTTTACATACAGTTTTGTAAGCTTCTAGGTGAGGCTGAGAGTTCTGTACTTAGGTGGTGCAAGAAGTTTGTACTTTGGCAGTACATGTAGTACTTTAGTGGTACGAGTGAATCTAAGTGTGGTACTTAGGTTGGGTAGGATAGGGTCCTATCAAGTAGCAAGTCCAGTGAGGATCTTGTGAATATAAAGGTCTATGTCTAATAGGTTGTAACTTGGTGTTTGCCCTATTATAGTGGAGTTTGTGTGTTTGAAATCCCTATGGCAAAGTCGAGGTTTTACTTCCAGTTGGGCCCTGGAAGGTTTCCTCGTAAAACCTGTGTGTTCTAGCGAGTTCCTATATGCATTGTTTATTATTCCGCAAAAAGTAGTCATTAGGAACTCAATACAATTCACCCCCCCTCTTGTATTAATCGTCTTAACTAACAATTGGTATCAGAGCAAGGTTCTCACGTGTAAGCAGATAACTTTGCTAAGTAAGTTCATGGAGAGATGAATTACAAGGAGAAACTTGAAGAAGGGTATTCCACCCAACGTCCACCCATGTTCAATGGTAAGTTTTACACCTACTGGAAGAACAGGTTGGAGATCTTTATCAAGGCTGAAAATTACCAGGTTTGGCCTGTTATTGAAACTGGTTATTTTGAAATAACTGCAACCAATGATAAGAACGAGGTAGTTCCTAAACTTATTTCTGATTATGATAAGGAAGATTATCAGAAACTGGAATTGAATGCTTTAGCTATAATGTATTTGCACTGTGGACTTGGACCTCATGAACATAATCGTATCATGGGATGCAAGTCTGCTAAACAGATTTGGGATCTACTAGAGGTAAATCATGAAGGTACTAATGAGGTAAAACGTTCTAAGATTGATTTATTAATGTCTAGATATGAAAGGTTTGAAATGCAATAAAAGGAATCTATAGAGGAATTGTTTACTAGGTTCAATGATATTATTAATGAATTGAATTCCCTTGGCAAGAAAGATCTTAAGGAGCCTACCACCAGATGAGCGATGGAGATCCAAGGTTACTGCCATGCAAGAAGCTAAGGACTTCACGAAGTTTAACATGGAACAACTACCTGGATCATTGATGACTCATGAACTTCACCTGAGTTCCAATACTGAAAGTTCCAAGAACAAGAGTCTTGCTCTTAAGGCTCAAGACTCAGAGGAATCGGAAGCTGATGAGGAAGAAATGGCAATGCTAGTTAGAAAGTTCAAAAGGATGATGAACTACAAGGATTTTAATAGGAACAAGAAGTATGCAAATTCCATGTGGGTCTAAAGATCACTTCATCAAAGATTTTCCACTACCAGATGGTGAGAAACGAAAGACAAAGGGCAAGGAGCAATCCAAAGAGTCAAGAGTCTATAAGCCTTACTTCACCAAGGACAATGTGAAGAAAGTCATGCTGGCTGCTTGGGGAGATTCTGATTTAGAAGAAGAGGAAGATCAACCGTCAAAGGAAACTGCGCATCTATGCTTGATGGCAAAAACTGATGAAAAAGCAAAACTGAAGGAACTAGAATCTGAGGTATGGTTTTCTCAAAAAGAACTTAGACATTTCTCTAAAGAAAACTTAATATTTGCTGTATTAGAAATTCAAGAAGAATTGAAAGAATTGCATAGAGCTAAATAGCAAAGTGATGAAGCTTTGGTAACTTTTAAAGAAACAGTGAGTGGGTTGATAATATGAAATTTGATATTCAATATAGATTCCTTTGTCTGTTTGATGATAATAATTATTTGAAAGAAACTATAAACAAGTTGAAACATGATAACATAATGTTAAATGTGGAACTATCCTTGATAAAACTCTGTCTTGATACTCCTGATTATGAAGTTCCTCCACTTGCTCAATATCCGAATTTTGAAAAACTAAAATCTGATTTGGAAGATTTAAAAGCGGATAAG